TCGATCCAAATTTCAAAGATGTCGCTTCAATATTAAGTTATTATGTTTTTATTAAAATCACGACATTTTATAAACATAGTGTCATACAGGAATCACCCTTCCATTTGTCCATTTTTAAGATATTGTAACTTTAGTATTTTTCAAAAATAAATGTAGTATGTCTAGTTTATTTCAGATAGGTATAAACTAGAGAGAAAATAAGACGCTACATAAACACGAGAGTTGAGAGGAGTTAACAATTTACTAAATCTGTGTAAGTTAAAATGTATTTTATCTTATTATTCATGGATAGAATTATAACGTTACATAATAAATGTCTGTTGAATTTATTTCTTGATATTGCTTACTATTGTTAGCGTCCAATTGTATTCCTTGTGAGTAATCGTCTGGCATTGTATCGATAAAACCAGCTTTAATTGATAAAGCATCGTCGCATGCCCTCTCCGGCGTCTAAATTCAGAGAACCTTGTGGTACATTTTGGGTGCAGACCTCTGCTGAAGAATTGTTTTTGACAATAAAAAAACGAAAAATCAACCGGTATCGCCATTTGTACAGTTAGTCTTATAATTATCATTGGTTGCGTGACTGATAAGTTACATTTATGCATTGCATTAGCTATGTTGTAGCCATGGATTAATATGTTCTTCTTTCCAAAAACGTACGTGTATTTTTGTGCTAAATTAAATCAAATACAGACCATACATGCAAGTCAGGATTACTTCAGTACTTAAATGCAGATAGATCGTGCCAAGTTCACAGAAGCCAAACTATGATGTAAAATTCTAACACCTGAAAAACTATTCGTGTAATTTTCGTACGCCGTATATTAATATCTCCAAAATTAATGTCATATGAGTATAAAAATGCAAGCAATGTAATGGTTTTAAGTAACGCCAGTTATACCGTGGGACAGCCGAACGGCTAATTTGTATAAGTAACTAGTAAAACGTTACTTGTTGATAGTGTGCGCTTAGTTCACTTATGTGTGTTTTCAGTTCGAAGCCGTACGTGCGTTCTCAGCAAAATTATTCTAAAATACAGCAAAACACGCTAATTCTATGATATTGTTCATTTGTTAAGTAATTAAAATACATGCACATAACAGCCGCACTGATTTATAATTGTAGTAAGAGTTTGACACGGTTTAAGATATAAATAGAAATGTATTAAACAATAGTACGATATAACAATATTATCGATTACATATTTAGGCTATTTAGGCTAATTAATTTAACTTATATCGACAAACTTATAAGTTTAATAAAAATTATTGTGTCCGTAATGTATTTCAATCCATTCCCGTAATTGTAGTAAGAGTTTGAAGATATAAATAGAAACGTATTAAACAATACGATATAAGAATATTATAATTTACATATTTAGGCTAATTAATTAATTTAACTTATTTCGACACACTTATTAGTTGAATAAAAAATATTATGTCCGTAATGTATTTCAATCCTATCCGGTAATTGTAGTAAGAGTTTGACACGGTTTAAGATATAAATAGAAATGTATTAAACAATACGATATAACAATATTATCAATTACATATTTAGGCTAATTAATTTAACTTATATCGACAAACTTATAAGTTAAATAAAAATTATTGTGTCCGTAATGTATTTCAATCCATTCCCGTAATTGTAGTAAGAGTTTGAAGATATAAATAGAAACGTATTAAACAATACGATATAAGAATATTATAAATTACATATTTAGGCTAATTAATTAATTTAACTTATATCGACACACTTATAAGTTGAATAAAAAATATTATGTCCGTAATGTATTTCAATCATATCCCGTAATTGTAGTAAGAGTTTGACACGGTTTAAGATATAAATAGAAATGTATTAAACAATACGATATAACAATATTATCAATTACATATTTAGGCTAATTAATTTAACTTATATCGACAAACTTATAGGAAGTTGAATAAAAAATATTATGTCCGTAATGTATTTCAATCCTATCCCGTAATTGTAGTACGAGTTCGATCCGTATTACATTTTTCAATAATATGTTAACCTCATCCTAGCCGGTGGAAAAAAGCCTCAACCATTTTTCAACAAAGATTTGTTGCTCGATCTTTTCAATTCAATTTTATGGAAAAACAAGCAGAAATGCATATGATTTTTTTTTGACCTCTTGATAGATATAGGTCTATGGTTTCAGGAAAGGTATCACTCTAATTGATTGAAATTTTCCTTTGGACCAAATTTTTGAGACTTTTGTGACATGTTCACCCCCCTTTTTTGCAATATTTTGTATCAAATAAATGCAGATTGTTGCCATGGTTACACCAAAAAGAGATTATATTTCACCTTTTTAACTATTAAAAATGAAATCTATGGAAGATGCTCTTTCCAGAAATATACACATGCATAACACAAATAGTAAGCCTTATTTATTAGATAGGAAGGAAAAGAGGGTGGTTAAAAATTATGAGTGTCAATTTTAAGACCTACTGATACTAGACTTCTCAAAAGCATTCGATAAGGTATCCCATAGCCTGCTCCTACATAAACTCAATCACTATGGAATCAGGGGAAAGACCAACAGCTGGATAGAAGCGTTCCTGACAAATAGAACCCAAGTAGTAGTAGTTGAGGGTGAACAGTCAGACAGAGCAAAGGTAGAATCTGGAGTTCCACAAGGTTCAGTCCTAGGCCCTAGTCTATTTTTGTTTTACATAAATGACCTAGCGAATGACCTAAAATCAACAGTTCGTCTCTTTGCTGATGACACAGTAGTCTACTTAACCATCGCCTCAGATACTGATTGCCGACACCTACAGTCAGACATTGATAAACTGGCACTATGGGAGGAAAAGTGGAAGATGGAGTTTCACCCAGAAAAGTGTAGCGTACTGACTGTCTCCAGAAAGAAAAAGCCAATCATATGGGACTATGTATTACATGATCATGTACTAAAACATGAAACATCAATTAAGTACCTGGGCTGCACCATCACAAGCGAACTAGACTGGGGAGAACACATCAACAACATTACCAGCAAAGCCAGCAGAAGCCTTGGTTTCCTCCACAGAAATCTACACATCGGCTCTAAAACATGCCAAGAAATCCTCGCTAAAAATTCCGGTCGACCTCCTAGGCATCCATTAGTAGTTAAAGATTTGATTTCATTCAATAAATTAATTTATGACCCGCGTGTACGTCTCACTTAAAACACAGCCATATACCAAATGGTCAAAATTAATCATCCATGTAATTTGCTCTATGGGATGTTTGCAAAATTTCAACGGAGGCAATTTCTTGGCATGGGAGAAAGGAAGAAAGACCATTCACAATTTGTCTTACATTTGTTTTTCTCTCTTTCGATTAAATAAAAAAAAAAATAAACCTTTCAGATGTAGAGTTCATAAGAATGAAATATTCCCTGTAGAACACCCCCACCCCCCCCCCCTTTTTTTGTGCTCTCTATTTTCAACCCTCTAATCTTATTAAAATTAAAACTTTGATTTCTAACCGATCTATTCATGCACCGGACCGGCAACTTTTTTTTATTTAATAAGAAAATCTACAGTGCCGTTATACACATGCATGTTGATTGCTTCGAGTCCCCGCCCGAAAAGAAAGAAATAGTCCAACTCCAAGATACTATGTTCCCGAATCACGTGATTTTTACTACGTGGAGCTTAAATTAGAATAAATACCGAATATGGAAAGTGAAACTACAATTCATAACATAAAGTCCGTTGGCAAATAGAAGAAAAAGGAGATAACTTTTGGCAAAGGGTACCGGGGTAATCCTCTTTGTGTTCAAAATATTCATGAAATATTTGCCACTGCCCCTTGTCTCGGTTCTATGAATGTTTACCCTGAGTTTTCTATCTGTTACATGCCAAGAAATCCTCGCTAAAAATTCCGGTCGACCTCCTAGGCATCCATTAGTAGTTAAAGATTTGATTTCATTCAATAAATTAATTTATGACCCGCGTGTACGTCTCACTTAAAACACAGCCATATACCAAATGGTCAAAATTAATCATCCATGTAATTTGCTCTATGGGATGTTTGCAAAATTTCAACGGAGGCAATTTCTTGGCATGGGAGAAAGGAAGAAAGACCATTCACAATTTGTCTTACATTTGTTTTTCTCTCTTTCGATTAAATAAAAAAAAAAATAAACCTTTCAGATGTAGAGTTCATAAGAAGGAAATATTCCCTGTAGAACACCCCCACCCCCCCCCCCCCCCCTTTTTTGTGCTCTCTATTTTCAACCCTCTAATCTAATTAAAATTAAAACTTTGATTTCTAACCGATCTATTCATGCACCGGACCGGCAACTTTTTTTATTTAATAAGAAAATCTACAGTGCCGTTACACACATGCATGTTGATTGCTTCGAGTTCCCGCCCGAAAAGAAAGAAATAGTTCAACTCCAAGATACTATGTTCCTGAATCACGTGATTTTTACTACGTGTAGGTTAAATTAGAATAAATACCGAATATGGAAAGTGAAACTACAATTCATAACATAAGGCCAACTAAAATTAATTAGTAGATTTTCATCCAACTTTTTGAAAAAAATGGGGCGGGTGGGAGGATTTTATTTTTTATTTTTTATTTCATATGAAAATATTTTGTAAGGTGTTATTAATATGTAAACGTTATAAAATGGCTTATATATGTTTTTATTCCAGAAACATGCACAATAGAAATTTCAACTCCAATCTCTGCAGAATTAAGCTGACCAAAAGACATCTAATAGTCACAAAAATAGTCTTCAATATCAGATGGTCCATCTCATGTGACAAGATTCAAATTTTATTTCTCTGACAAATATCCAGTGGGAAAATTATCTAACAGTTGACCATATCAAATTGAATGATAATAAAAGCTTAATTAAAATAAAACTTTCTGTTTTATTAAACAAAAAATGATATTAAATGCAATAGATTACAAAAAACAGAGAGTTCAAACATTTTTGTAATATTGTATGATTAGAAAATTTTGGTTATTTTTCAAAATCATTTAGGATTAAATTTGTTCCTAGTACGTCTTTCGACAAGTTTTTTACCATTCTCTTTACAACCAGTACATATAGGATAATATTCATTAGCTTCATCTTCATCACCTGCTTCAGCAGGTTCAAGCTCATCAGTTCCACAAAAGAAACAAACATCTTCAAAACCAGCAGAATAATAAGTTAATTCTACAGTACAGTTACATGTAATGTTTTTTCGTACAAACACAGTTTTCAAAACATGGGTTTCTTCTTCAAGATCTAACTCATCAAATGAGAAACCACATGTGTACTGAATATCAGTTAAACTGTTTACTAATTGTGTCCTTCTGACACCCCTTACTACCTTTTTGGAGTAGAGTACTCTAGGTTTATCACAATCTGAACATAGAACAACCATTTCCACATTCTTAGCGTACTGAGAAGATGGAGAAAATGGTAATCCATGTTCAGATGATGGTTTGCCAGTGAGTGATGGTCGATATTTTTCTGATGTTGGCTTTCCATATAACTGATCAAATGATTTATACTTGTCACAATTAAGCGGCTCTGGGTCCGGAAGATGATAAAGACTTTCAAACATTTCATTACTTAAACGAGGTTTTTTGCAAACATGACATGACGTTTTACCACATTTTTTTACACTAAAAATGTACTGAGCAATTTTACAATGATCATTCAAAAAACTCATAAACAATTTTCTTTTTTTAATATCCTGCTGAGTACTATCTGTTACTTTAATATCCTGGTCTATTTTTAATATTTCACGTCTGAAATCAAATATTTCACCCTCTGTTGCTGGATCAAAGACCTTTAAGTTTTTATCTTTCCATTTGAGCCTAGTTATTACATTTGACAATAAAATACGAACAGGCTCTACTGAGTCTAAAACCTCTTCCTCAACCGTAGGATATTTTTCTGCTAGTTTTCTAATTTCACCTAATGAATTTACAGAATCTAATTGTTTTTCATAATGCTCTGTTTTTTCACGCATCAGTCCTACTGACTGGAAACCCAAGTTCAAGATGGACATAATTCTTTCTGCTGGATTTTTCCAACTATTTTGTGGAGGGGTTCTAGCTACACAAATCAAATCAAGATCAAATATAAGAAACAGGCAAATCAAGGACATTTGAACAGAAACATATGTCAATCTATGGTCGGGACCTCCATCACTGTAAAAAATTAAAATGGGCTTAATCATACCATTTTCTAGAAATGAATTTTTCAAAATTTTAGACATTTCAGTTGCATGCCGCCATGGGGAAGAAGATTGAAATGCTGTTTCTTTTACACCAACAAACACTTGCCCACCATAAAATGTTTTTTCAATTTCATCTGGAATCTCTGAAAATAAATTCACACTAGGAGTTATTGAAAATTTTGTGAAGTCGTGATCAGCAACTTCAAATTTTTTCCCCATGGCGACAATGACCTGCTTCCCCCTTTCCACAGTTGCAACTGGATATCCAGGCTCCCCAACTTTCAATTTGTGCTTATCATCCATACACACAAAATTACAAAATGGTTTATACATTATTGCAAACTCTTTTTGGTACCTAAAAATAGCAGAAGCATAATGCATATCTACATGAGTCTTTCTAAATTGGCGACTTTGAATCATAAATTTAACTTTTAACTTGCCTGTATATCTATGAGAGGATTGAAAATTAGCATGTCGAGGCCAAAATTGCCAACGCAACCATTGCTGTGAAGGGACTAAAATGTTTGGTGGTAATTTAGCTTTAACCTGTTCATATAGATCTCGAACTGAAAATGCATCTGCCAAATGAGTAATTACATCACCCCCCTTATCAATTTTGTCATGCCTTCTATCGTCAACAGCCAATTCAAGCTTCTCATTGATATAATTTTGGCACTCTGAAAGAAAATCATTATACTTTTCAGGTTGACCCCGGTTATTCAATCTTAAGTCACAAATAAGTTCAGAGTCTTCATTGTCTAGAATTTCACTGATACGTTTGTCAACTTCTGTTTGTGAAGCAGTAAGAGAGGCAGACTGGTCCCCAGTCAAACGTCTATAAGCCTCTCTTAAAAAAGCAGATTTATTTGAAATTGTGCGACCAAACAAAGAAAGAAATTCACGTCGCATTGCCCGACTGTGATAAACTGGGAGTGATTTGCGTAAATTGCATGCTATTTGCATGTTCTTTGTCAATAAGTCACTCTCAGATACAATGGGAACTTTCCACAGAAACATCAAGTGTTCTTTTGATCCTGTATAAGTAAATTGACAACATTTGACTGGAACAACTAGGTCTTTGAAATAGTCATATCGTCTGTTTGGTTCACCCGGAGAGTAGTCATTGACAACAATAGGAGAAAAAAAGTCACTATGTATGATAGCAGTATGCAATAAATTGTATCTCGCTTGCTTTGTAGGATTGACATTGGACACGGGTGCTAGATATTCCCACCTCTCCTTATCCCCTTGGAATACTTTTTTTGAAGCACTACATTCAGATCTATATTGCTGTGAAACTAAAAAGTCAGCATACTTTTTCAAATTTTGTCCAAATTCTAAAAGAATAGTTCTTATTGGCAACCACTTCTCTCGTTTTAAAAAGCCATTTTCAGTAAGAAGCAAAAGTGCAATTGCATGACTGCGTAAAATGTTCTCTTGAAGACTAGTTGAATCTATTTTCTTTCTCTTTCTTAATTCTGGTTTATAGTAACCATTAAAATGAATCAGTGCTTCAGGAAGACCACAGGCTCGGCTAGCTAATGTGTGGTGGTTACCATCCACATACCACAAAATGTCTGTCAATGTATTCACCAAATTCACCCCAAGACTGTCTTTGTTTGTTGACAAAAAACCCACACCCTGTGCCCTTAGCCACTCAATTATGTCATTAAATAATTTGTTCTTTTGGTTTAATTCATGTTTAATGTTTGGCAAATGATTGGCTTTATTTGCACCCTGCATTAGAATCGTGAAAGCATCAACTTTAGCATTATTTACACAGTTTTGATTTTCATCTTTATTTACTCTGTATTCAATGTAGGGTCCAAGACAAGGTACCGCGTCGCACAACTTTGTGCAGGGGTCGATTTCCGTACTTAATTCACTTTTTTTTGTTCCAATGTGTGCCGTTATTCTAGCGTTTTGAATTTCATTCACTGGAGGTTTGTGGTCCAAATTTCCTGACGCGAAGTCATTATATAAATCAAAAATGGTTTTTTCATCATTGAAATTCGTAGCGTACCACGATTTCTTTTCATTCACACCGCTTACTACTCTAAGAATCACGAAAACCATGTTGAATTGTTACAGGAAGTTAACAAAAAACGAAATTATTGACACGGATACCGGTAACGGAGATGAAAAAAATCCGGAAATCGTAAATTTTAGAAAATAAAAAAAATCGGGGCGGCACGATTTTCGAGGGGCGGGCGGGGATGAAAATCTATCAATTAATTTTAATTGGCCTAAAGTCCGTTGGCAGATAGAAGAAAAAGAAGATAACTTTTGGCAAAGGGTACCGGGGTAATCCTCTTTGTGTTCAAAATATTCATGAAATATTTGCCACTGCCCCTTGTCTCGGTTCTATGAATGTTTACCCTGAGTTTTCTATCTGTTACATGCCAAGAAATCCTCGCTAAAATTCCGGTCGACCTCCTAGGCATCCATTAGTAGTTAAAGATTTGATTTCATTCAATAAATTAGTTTATGACCCGCGTGTACGTCTCACTTAAAACACAGCCATATACCAAATGGTCAAAATTAATCATCCATGTAATTTGCTCTATGGGATGTTTGCAAAATTTCAACGGAGGCAATTTCTTGGCATGGCATCAAAGAGCAAGCTTACAAAAACCTAGTAAGGCCCCAACTAGAATATGCCACAACAGTATGGGACCCATATCATCAGAAACATATTGACCAAATTGAAAAAGTTCAAAGGGGGGCTGCGCGATACGTCACCAAGCGCCACAGAAACAGATCAAGTGTCACGGACATGATTAATGAATTGGGTTGGAAAAGTCTCCAAGAACGACACAGAGAGGCCAGGCTCGCAATGATGTACAAGATCGTCAACGACAAAGTAGCCATCAACAAAGACATGTACCTCCAGAGACCAACCAGAGTATCCAGACATACACAACAGCATGGATACATGGTACAAACAGCAACCAAAGACTGCAGGAAATGGTCCTTCTTTGTGAACACCACCAAAGACTGGAACAAGCTTCCCCCGGAGATCGCCACAGCACAGTCATTTGAGACATTCAAATCTCAAATGACCAACCTTACAAAATAAGATGAACATTTGTTTTTATCCTGTTTTTAACCATGCAGAACCAATTTTGCCAGTATATTCAGAAAGTTGAATGTGGGCAGTATATGGAAGAAGAAGAAGAAGATGTTTTCCTAACTGTGTATTGCTACCTAACCCGTATGTTGCAAGGAAGAGAACCAGTCTATCCTAACGTCCTCGAATAATTCAGCGCCCTCTATCTTTTTCGAGGTTAACAGAGTGATCGTAGTGATCGGAATATAACGACTGGATTATTCGGGTTAGGTGTCAAAGCATTCCTCAGATTGGAGCGTATCTTAAGTTTGCTCCCTCCAGCGCAATATATATAGAATAACCATACATTGTCTCGAAATATAATTTTTTTTTGTACAAGGCTTAGAAACAGGTAGAAAGCGAGGCTTTGCCGAGCATTTCTATCCTGTTTTGAGCCGTTGTACAAATAAAATTTATATTTCGAGACAATGAATGTATATACTGCAACTCCTACAACTGTTCCAAATAAAATATTTACGGTAAAAACCATCATTTTTTAATTTGGAGTGAACGACGTAAAAATTCCGCGAACCTGTACTTTTAATGACGTCATAAATAGAACACTACGGAAACGCATTGTCAACGTCATAAACAAGGCGACATACGGTCAGTGACTGTATATCATAGATGAGTATATGGTCAATGTAATTTCACTGCGCAAATAGCACAGCTGCAGTATATATCGGATTTTATACTGCACTCGTTCTATTTGAGCAGTCAAAATGCGTTGACCGTATATTTCTATGTCATATACAGTCACTGACCTGATATCACTTTCTTCATGAATATTTAAATAGAAATTGCCGAAATTATAATTAATTACTCATACGACCTATTCAATCTGTTCTTGTTTCCAATGTATACAACGACTCAAACTTATTTCTTTTGCAAATTTTAGAAAAAAAACCATATTTCATTTGTTAATATTTTTGATTTGCAAACTATAAATCCTTATGTTTTATGTATATTGTTGATATTTTAGTTCATTCTCAAACAAATTCCTTCACCATCGATTGCGGGTTTCAACAGGTAATGTACATTTCATTGTGTTGTATATTGCTCCGCCTGCATGATATGAGGCCTTTTTGTAAAAGGGGGAAGTTTCCCAATATTTAAATCAAATAATAACATTAACACATTAAACAACAATTGAAAATGTTTTTTTTTAGATTGCAGAGCCTCGCATTTCCCCGTTTCTAAGCCTCATCCTTATATCGTTGATATGTCAAGTCAATGCACTATTATTGTCTATGGTAGCAATACACAGTTAGGAGTTTGGTTTCGCATTTTGGCCCCGGTGGATTTTTCAAATATGAAAGTTATTGTGTAATAAAATTCATTTTTAGACAGCTGAGTACTAATTTAGCCTTCAAAGGTGGTTTATAAGAACATCAAGATTCTTTTTTACATGTTTTATGGGCTATTTTCTGTTTGACTCTCCGTATTTTCATAGCTAGACCGGTCATCGGTCCAGAAATTAATGTAATGTTTACAAACACTTTTTTTCTGGTAGACGGTCCAAGGACACAGTTATCGTCCTTTGGTTTTCGTTGTCTACAAATATAGTCCCTAGTGTGAACAGTGTATAACTTGCATTTTTTTTTGATACACTTTCCCAATTTATTTCTTGATATTTTATGCATGAAATATTGAGTAAGGGGATGAAATTACATGTTAAAAAAATTTGGGTGCTGAATCTTTATGTTAAGTAGTGATTTGGTCCAGTTAAAAAAGGTCAAAAATTAGAATGTCTGAAGCTGTCAGATACAGTCAATGTCTAAGCGTATTTGTATTGCATCAAAGGTTTCCGCTGCATTGTTTTAAAACAAAGGACATTTCCTAAATGGTTTTACAGATTCCCATCAATGTTGTACCCATCAATAAATCTACATTTGATACGTTTTTGCGGTAGGTATACAGAACTTTGCAAGTGTGTTTTTATGGCTCAAATTATAAATTGACCATTTAATTATGTGTGATTTTAATTCCAAAATTACTTGTATTCTTTCAGTCTCCGAGGTCTGCATTAAATATGCGAATCGACGTTATATTTAAAAAAAAAAACCAAACCATATTTTTTATAGATTGCCTTTTAAATAAAATTATTTTAACTTCAATTTTCATCTGTAATGTAGTATTTAGGATATTATTTCAATTCATATCACATCCCATTGTTCAATAATGCTGATTATCAGTATAATAGAGACAATGCATTAATAAGTCTACTAGGAGATTACCAAGATTCACAAAATCAAGGCAATACGGAGGTTGGACAACGTATGAAGCAGAGACTTCGAACATACAATTTATAAATAGCCGTGTCCATTACCA